CCCCCCCCAAACCACACACACAAACCCAGTGACTTACCTGGTTATGACTGAAGAACAGCAAAGCCCCTGAATACATTAGTTCTCTTGCTTCTGCGTGTTTTCCTTGTGACATATACCTGAAAACAATATCAAAACCTTGATTAAAAATACCACTAAATAAGTTGTGTATGCTTGAAGTTACTTACATTTAAATGATGAAAGATCACTAAAATGTAAAATAAAGGCAATAAGGGATTTATTTTTAAATCAGCTTGTTTCAATAATAATGTAACTTCAACTGCAAGCTACAATTTGTTTTCTGCTCCAGACTTGATGGAATACAAGAAAAAGAGTATAAGAATGAAAAACCGAGAGCTTCAAACCTGATTTGGGCTGAAACAACAACAAAAAAGTGATCCCAGGAGTTCATCTGAGCAAAAGACGTCAGTGCACTGAACTACACCGCTTAGACCGACACATTAGAGCCTTTACCAAAACCAAAAACAGTGAAACAGTTTTCAGAATACACCCTGGACAGCTCGCACACCCAGCGTCGCCCAAGTGATTCCAGCCCCCTCCTCACCGACGTCTCCCTTCCACTAGTTTAAGTCTCTCTGAGCACTACTACTCTCTGCCAGGGGACGTCAGTGCACTGAACTACACCGCTTAGACCGACACATTAGAGCCTTTACCAAAACCAAAAACAGTGAAACAGTTTTCAGAATACACCCTGGACAGCTCGCACACCCAGCGTCGCCCAAGTGATTCCAGCCCCCTCCTCACCGACGTCTCCCTTCCACTAGTTTAAGTCTCTCTGAGCACTACTACTCTCTGCCAGGGCACATACATACTAGTCTACCCACACTAGCTTGTCTCTCATGGGCTCCAGTAAGGCAAGAACAGCCAGCAAGATTTACCATGCAACACATTAGAGAGTCACCAATTCACAAAAGAAACAAGTCTAGTCTCTCAAATATAATGCTTCAAAACACGCCTGCTGCAGCTTCCACCCTCCTCACTTAAGAGTTAACCAAGAAATGAAGAATAAAACATTTTGTTCCCAACGGTTACCTCAAGAGCAGGAGCCTCTTACTATGGTGCTGATTGCAGCCTGCTGCACATCATCACTATTGGTAACTAAAGGTCTTGGATAGTCACATCTCTAGATTATGAACACAGCATTTCCCATAAAAGCAGTTAAGGTGTGGCAGCAGATACAGTTTCCAATTTCCATTTCTCTTAACTGCTTCTCAAAAAGTCTGTTTTCTGAGTAGTTAATAACGACAGCCAATTTGCTCATATCAAAAAGATAAGATGTCAGCTCTACCACACTGCTTTAGTATCTGCAATGTTCGTTTTGTCCTCCACAACACCTGGTTGTGCTGGGCCCCTGCTTCATCCCTTTCTGTTCTCGGTGGTCAGAGCAGCCTCTCCGCCCCCGCAGCAGCAAGGCCGCCCTACAGCAGATCCAATGCACGAGCATCCCTGCGGGGTAACAGAGAGGGGTCGGTGGTTCTGGGGGTGGAGCAGTCAGAGGAGTGGTGAGCCCGTGTGTGGGCATGGAAGGGGTCACACTAACCGGAGGGAAAACGAGCAAACGGTGGATCCCAAAAGCTCTTGCGCTGCACGTGAGATTCCTGTCACACGTGGCAGTCCCAGGGACAGGTCCTTCTGGTAAAATCAGATCAGACAGTGAGCAGGGGAGGAGAGAGAGTTCTCCCATCCTGCTCACTGTCTTCCAAAAACCCCAAGGTCTTTTATACAAAACAGTTAGCAGAACTGTAATAATGGATGGCATGATGGTGGTTTTTTGGAATAAGTATCCTCAACAATTCAGATTTGCAATCACCATAGCAAGTGCTCTACACATTAGTCTAACGGATCGGCAGCTCCAACGTTTTTACAGTTGGGCTCACATCCAGGTTTGCTTCTAGGAGCTTGACTCCGAATCTCAGTGTGGATCCACTTCCACAAATTCTACTTCCAGTAGATTCCCAATGCTATTTGGGAGCTCCTAATCTGGGAATTATTACAGCAGATACTAAAAGATGCTGAAAACAGCTTTACAATATTACAATACAAAATACGTTTAAAACAGTTGTGGGGTTTTTTTCAAAAAAAAAGGAAAACTTTTATTTAAAAGAATTATTAATAATAAAAATAAATACTCACTACATTGATCTAAGTGGCATTCAGAACAAGACAGAAACATTTTCATAACTGAAATCCGGGAACAGATCATTCATACCAGAAAAAGTATCTACAAGCATCAGGAAGACAGATGCCAATGTAACTACAAGAGGGATGTTAAACTTGGAAGTGTGACTCAATCACCAAATCATAAACAGAGAAGAGTTCAACCCAGCCAGCCTGTACAGCAACAACACTGGTCCAGATATTCCTGTTTGGAGGAGCACAGGATTCGCTGCTTGGGGTCAGGCAGGAACAGCAGTTTTCCACCCGCTGTGTGGTTCACAGAGAGGGATAAGAAGTCTGCAGGAGGCAGGCTGATGGTAATCTTTCCTCCTCCACCCTCAAATGCAGCTCAGTTTATGACTTTTGAAACTCTGAGTCAGGATTTCAAGTTTAACACGTAACTCAAGACAGAACAGACTAATGTTTTACAGGCTGGTGTTGTTTAAAACAAGTAAGCTGGCCATCCCAAGTACAATTCCGCAGCTGAGATCATCTCATCCATGTTAATGTGTCTCTGGAAAACTGTTGACATTTAACATACATTTTACAGAGGACAGACAGGACTGTTCGGGCACTTTTTTGGCCTCAGTGACTTTCCAAACAAATTTCAGAACAGACTAATGTTTTACAGGCTGGTGTTGTTTAAAACAAGTAAGCTGGCCATCCCAAGTACAATTCCGCAGCTGAGATCATCTCATCCATGTTAATGTGTCTCTGGAAAACTGTTGACATTTAACATACATTTTACAGAGGACAGACAGGACTGTTCGGGCACTTTTTTGGCCTCAGTGACTTTCCAAACAAATTTCACAGTCATTTTTTTGC